ACTAATTCATATTGACTGATGTGCTTGAAAGGCTGTTTCTATATAATACACAGTCCTGCTTACAGTCCGCTCAATTTCACTAGCTGACATCACATACATAAAGGCGATAGACCATTTTGCGTCCATGGTTCATTTGACTGGAGGTCAGCTTGTTCCTGTAACAATTTAGACTTCAAATGTCGTTCATTTTTTGCAGACACATTGTTCCAGTGGGTTGAACACAGTTACTGCACATTTTCTTCTCTTAAAGTATGTCTGGTACTGACTCTCAGATGTTTATGTTGGTAACCCCTGGTTTCAGAGTAATATTATCTTCTGTAAGACATGTCCTTACCTCACACACATATATAGCATACCAACCCCGCGCTTTCTGTACTTAACTTTTGGGAACCAAAGTCGTTTTAAGCAATACTGGTGTGGTTTGTCTTATAGTTGGATTTTTAAGTAAGTTGGTCATCTTTATTTCCAAGAGAAGGCATGTTTTTCGCAAGGAGTGGCGACTATATTGTGGGGCAGAACTTGGGATTTGGAAAGGTGACTTGTATAAAGTTGGGGTTTTCGACTAGTTTGGGCATTTAAACGTAATTACGTGATTCCTTACAACTGCTTCTATCACTGCGGTCACAGACATATATTTTAACTGTGTTTTTTATGGCTATAAAAGATCACTCAGATACTTGTTTTGTTCTTTCTTTTCTCTACTTTTGTTCTAACATATTCAGTTTTGAAAGTATGCTACCGAATGTTTGATACAGTTTTAATTTCCATATGGTTGCATCATTTTCAAAATATTCCGTTTTATAAGCAACCATTCAATTCATGCAAACAATTTTCTGATGCCGTTTCAGAGTTTTGACCTGTCCTAGGGTGCTGATATAGGTGTTGAATTTTCAAACACGGAGGCCAAGCTAACTGATCGATACTTTCCTACCAGAATGATCAAACCATGTATTGTGTATTTATCATAAATTTGTCATTTTGATGGTGTTGCTTCCCTACACCTTCCGGTACGGCTTTGTCTAAGATGATTTTCAATGGTTGTGATATCTGCTTTTTTTTATCAGAATCAAATAATGTATGTTAACCGTCTGATTTAAGTGCTGAATACGGGTTTAGCTGCGTAATTCACTGTTCAACAGGTCAGCGTGTCACAAGTATGTCGGCTGACTGTAGGCTTCTTTTGAGAAAATCGGACCATCATCTTATGTTATAGCGTCTGGCTCAAATGTTTATTTTGACAAAATGATATAATGTATCTTAACGGATGCAAAAATGAGAATCCCTGAAATATGAAGAAATATTAGCTGTTCTTAGATAAATGTCAGAACTCGAAGCGTTCATCTTAAGCCCAAAAAAATAATTATACAATATGGAAATGACAGGTTATAAAATACCATCTGTCATTGCTACTAAAGTCGAGTGTGAAGCAGACTCACGGATTTCCTGTTTAATAAACATGTACAGAGTATTTGATCATATCATTTAATTTTTGTTTTATAATTTTATATTTTATCGTTTGGAAATATATATGACGTGACAAGATGTATTAAGTACTGAAAGGAATTACAACTTTGGAACTGTCAAAAGAGGGAATTAACATAGCATCCATGTATATATTGGAACTGGAAGGCTCAAAACAAAATTTGTTGTGATACCTTAGTGATAAATATCGAATTACTTCATAGCTTTGTACAACATTGTCGGACATCAAACTAATATAAATATAATAGATAATTCGTATTCTTACAGTAACAATCCTCAATCATCGTCTTCGTTGGTGAAAATAAACTCCCGTCTAAAAACAAAATGAAACAGATAAAACACATGATCTGTAAAACAATATAGTTAATTCAACAGACACCTTGAATTGTTTGATTAATAATGACAAATCGAAAAGCCAAACATTATATGTAAGGTCAGAGTGTAATAGAAAATTAAATATAAATAATTTTACTCAAGTTCTGTGATGAGTTAATAAAGAGTGTTATCAGAATAATGCCATTTGTTCTTAATTTGAAAAGGTTTACAATATTTGGACATTTAGTGATATAAGTGACAATATATAGAAAACGATTGTAACTCAGAAGCCTTACTTGGGCGTAAAGCTGCAAGCAATAACGTATGAAATATTCAAGGAATTACAATATATCAATAAATATATCCGTTATCATCATTTTTGTATCCGTATATGTCACAATGTTAAACTAAGCGCATAGTTTACTATTTCTCTTAAGACGAACACCAAATCTATTCCATTTTCTCGTTAACGATTATCATTTTTGGGTGAATATTTATCTTAGAGTTTAGTCTTGTTCATGTCCAAAAGGCACTCTTTGCTGACAAGTATGGTGAGTAGTCTCCCCTGTTTCGGTTCATCAGACCCGGAAGTCTGTTTCATTAGAACCGGAAGTCGGTAGTTCATCTTAAGGTGTCAGAAGTAAAAAGTGCAAGGGTATGCCAGACTCCAAGACAAACTACATAGGATCTCCTTTTAAAACCGGATATTGAAACTTCCCGGTTTTCCATTTAACTCTTACGTGTCAGAAATTAAGTATTTCCTTTGCTCATGCGCTGTAGTATGTTTATCTGCTTATCCATTTATACTCGATATTGGAGACGTCTATACGACTGTCCGGGGTAAATGTGTCTCGTGAATTCTTAAAGTTCGTGACGTGTTCTCACGTTAGATGCACTTAGTGAAATGTTTGTATCGACATAAACGGACACGTTATCAACACTTCCGGTAGCCGGAATCACGAATCACGACTGCTCGATCACATCCAGTGCAAATGTCTGTGACCTTTTGCCGCAACATTAGTGTTAGATTTCCTCGTATGAGCTTCACACGGAGCACCTTATTGTTATGTTGTGATTTTGATCTTTTTGTATCAAAATAAGTTTTATAATGATGAAGTTTTATTGTAATGTGGGTTTGTGGTTGAGCTGTTTTTAATTTGTGTAGCACTTATAGAATTCGTCATTTAAAGTGAACTTTCAAAGAGATTTGAAGCAAAATATCGTATAATGTGTATTTCTTTTTTGTACAAATTACATGTAAAAATATGTTTAGTACCAGCTGTACATTTAAGCGAAACTCGCAATTTAGTATACAATCGAACTGCGAAATCACAAGAAACTAAATTGTATATGTATTAAGAAAGAAAGTATATAACAATTAAGTCAATAAAATTACAGTTGTAAAGTCACAATTTCATGACGGGAGCTAAAGGCATATCCGACTAATAAGACAAGGATGAACAATACTAAGTGAGCCGACGAGTACATTAGCCTCCTATTCAATAACATATCTGTTGAACTTGCCGCCAATAGGCAGCTATCCGAGGGTGCTAACAAGTAAGAAGCTGCAGCGCCAACCGTTGGTCTCGTATCGCGCACCACTGTCGCTTGACTACAGCGAAAAGAGGAATCACAGCAGTGTCGTCTATTTACTTTCATTAACAGTTTTGTGCTTTCCTGCTTTTTAAACATTTGTCTAAAAGATCAATAATTTTCAAAAATAGGAGTGGAGAGTTCCTCTTGATAAGAAAACACGAGTGTCGTTGTCTACGCTGCAAGAATGTTTAACATAATTAAAAACAAAAGAAAAAAAAGGAATGAACCGAGTTTAAAAAACAATAATGATCCTTTATCGTGTAATACCGTTGATTATGATATATGCGTAACCTTTAAACGCGTTACAAACTAACTGCGTGTATAACCAGTACTCCTATGGTAAGCAGAGGAAACTCTTCCGTGACTTCGATCCGGTGATTGTATAAATGACCACGGAGTGTTTCTATCTACCGGACATTAATACTTTCCGGCAAGTCGTAAACGTCGAGCACAAACACGGAATTTGTACATTTCCCTAACGCTAGTGCATTTGACAGTGAAAGTTTTATATTTTTTTAACATTACCATGGTGAGCAAAGCGTTAAATTTCGCAAAAAAATAAAGAGAATAAAAATATAATTTTACGTTTTTTTTGCTATGTTTCTGCATAAGATGGTCTAAGGGCAAATGCTATTTAACTCTGTGAGCTACGATGTGGAACTATACACAAAACACTAACGTTGGTATGCAAATCACACATTTGTTGTACCTTTGTGATAGCTCAAATCGACTGACCACTGGATATCAGAATTAAAGACATATTCTGTCTAACCGTTCTCACATCAGGGTCTCCGCTGAGGCGATCTACACATTCGAACCGTGGATATCGGTGTCACAGGTCACAGAGAACACGATCCACATTGAGCAGTCCTACGTATTTGGAGCACTCCAATTGCTGAATGAATGTTCGTACTTTTGATTTTTTGTACCGCTGATGAATTAAACCAAGCAGGTCGGAGATAGAGAAAATTATACACCTGCAGTTTCCCCACTGCATGGTTGTAAGAGGCGACTAATGTTGGAACCCCCTGCAGAATTAGCTTTTGTGCTCTCTACTGGGAGACACAAAAGCAACCAAAATAAATCTGCAGCACCCATGGCAATATTTGCGATCTTTTTATTTCTCTCTACTTCTTACTATTTTTTGTTTCCTACTAGCGCCTTGCTTGGCAATACCTCACTATTGGATTTAATGTTGAGCGTTCACTCATGTGATGAAGGAAAGGAGTTTTGTCCCCAGGTCGGGCCAAACCAACGTCCTTGGAGAATGTAGTTGTTATTCCCTGCTTGGCGTTTGGCACTTCGGGTAATGGCCAACTGATTCACCCGTTGTCAGTATACTTTGACAGGGTGGAATGCTGAGCTGGGTGCCTTCGGCGTGGTATTTCAGTGGGGTAGCACTATAAAATTGGCATCAGATCTGCGTTATCACAAGGAGGCAATTACACCAACGTACCCTGTCTCCGGCACAAATACACAAATGCACGCGTACACAGCACCCATAAAGGCATGGCCTTTTGTGACCCTGTGCAACTCGCCAACAACTGAATGTCGGTTTCCTATGTTTTGTTTACTTTAATTTCAAATATGTTGTTTGATTGGTACAGGTTGACCAAATGACGTCATGACCATGGAGGATGAGGCGGTGATTATCACCCCCTGGTCAGAATACCTCATCACCGCCAAACACATAAATGACTGCTCCCTCCAGCCTCATTCACTTCCGCCGTACATCGCCTGGGACGCCATTCTTCACCTGGCACCGGAAACAGATGATTTACGTCACATCATCACCTCTAACAAGTGAGAAATATCTTATTTTAGTTGAATATATAAGGGAAAACGTGTACATGTACAAATTCAACTGTCGGCTTTCGTCTCACGGCAAAACACGGGCACATCAAGAAAAGCTTTCACCATACAATGTCCAAACAAAACATATTATCGCATTATGCAATAGCATTGATTTATAGTGTTATATGCAATATTTTAAAGCCTTCATTCGTAACCAGTATTTGACATTTTGGCTTTGGTCTCGAAAAATTGTAAATGGTCTTACCAGAGGTGATTTGGGAGAAAAACGGCTAGGATGTCAAATGTCCTATTCGTGTCTAATTTTCTTTTTGGAACTCATCGACATTGAAGGTAGATTAATGTCCAGATTGTCATGTTTGTTAATTGGTATCAATTTATAAAAAGAGCCGATAAACGCATAAGAGCAAGAGAGAATCGAACGGCGGCGTGCTCACACGAATCCCATTCGGACATCAAGTCTTTGGTGAATTCCAAGTCCTCATATGTACCTAACCTGATCCATATAAGCAGATTTTTTAAGTTCAAATAATTTTCATTCACCATATTCTATCTTTACTTCATTGAAAGTCGGCCAGGGTTAGGTTCTTGGAGTCAACACTTTCTTACAAAATGTGTCTTCACGTAGGATGGGACTAATTAAGATTTCAATTGATCATTTCATGCACAAGTACAAGCTTCAAATACTAAATTGAATGTATACACTCATACTTTGTACTATGAATGTTAAACAATTTACTTGCAGAATATAATTGTTACATAATCCGGATAAATGTCCATATCCGTCTCTTTTATTACTATAGTATGCACACACGATGACTTCCGGTTTAATAATAAAAAAACTTTTTTAATGAACTCTTGTACCATTCGTCCTCCAATACTATCTCCGGACTTCTAATGAATATCATATTGTGGTTAAAGAAGGCTGATTTTTTTCCGTCAAAATATATCACACGTATTTTAACGATTTTCCTTTGCTTTTGGCGTTTTGTCAAAAAATGTGCATGTTACATAGACTTTATTTGTTGTCTGAGGACAGAGCTCTGACGTCAGCGAACTTGGGTTAAAAAGCCAAGGTCAGACATAATTGAACACAAATAAAGTTATTGTAGTTAATTTCGCACAAGGGATTCCTCTGGTGTCATCACACAGTTTAATTATAGGATTCATGCGGTTTTTATGTCCTATAATGTCAATTAATCACATGAAATTATTTTCATTTTGTTTAACGACATCCTTCTCGGAATATAGCGCGATGATAAAACAGTGGTTAATTTGATGTGGATGGTATGTCACGTGACTAAATCCGGAAGCTGTTCAGCATGACTTCCGCTTAGACTATTACGATAACCAATAAAACACGGGCTTTATAGCCCCCGTGCCGTGTCATTAAAACGCTTGCCAGTATGTATTTGCTAAACGTTACAGAGCACACGAATCCTTATTAATGACGGTCTCCACATATTAACCCCATGCACGGTCGCGGGAAAGGTGGATAGTGGTCGTAAATCGCTGAGCGTGAAACACTACAATTCTACGTGGCATTGCGCGTGATATTTCCTCTTATTACGACACGCCATTGGCCAAGATTCGGAAACAAGCGAATTCAACAAGTACGACTTTCATCGTCATTTCAACTAATTATCAAACGCTATCGGGACTATGTTTTTTGTGTGTACTCGCCTATACAAATCCCTACACTAGAAGTACAACTTTACTGTTTGATCAAAGTAAAACGTACAAACCAATACTGTGCTCGGAGACACTAAAACGTTTGCTTGCGCTGTGCGTTTTGATGGAGTTGTCCTATCTTATATGTATCAATTGTGTTCGGGGACACTAAATTTTCATTTCCGTTGAACGCTTTCATGGAGTAGCCCTCTACTGTGTATAGCCCCTAGATTGTATCTTTATGTTATTCGGTATCTATAAATAACTTCAGTTACACAATCCATATATTGATATCTTGCGTATTTAAATCAGAACCTATATTTTGAAAACAATTACCCATAACACTTGACTACATTAGGTTTGGCCTAATGCATTCGGTAGATACGGATAGGGCCTGGATCACAGATCTAGCAAAGCGAGGGGGCGGGGGATGGGGGCAGGGTGATCTGGGGTGGGCAACGTTACCAAATACCCTGAACAATCGCAATCTAAGACAATTTAAATAAATGGAGAATATATTATATAGCCTAAAAAAGACGCGTACCTTATCAGATAGATCATTTACTTCACTAGTAACAATTAGTGATCTTATATATCAAGTTGACGATTGGAACTGGGGAATAGAGAGAAAAGATTTTATCACGAATGGGATAAACTGTTTCTGATCTACATGTAATAATTATTTGTGATACACTTTTACTTTTGGAATATGAAGTCATTTTGTTGATGGTATGAACGAAACGAAGAGTGCGTTAATGTAATGTAGTTTGAATGAAGCTGTATTTAGTACAACAAATACAGCTTAACTCATTCACCCCTGAAATTTCATAATGAACTATTCCAACCTTTGAACTGGAAGAGTTCAAATGCGTCTTCAGGGGTGAATGAGTTAACCATCATCACTACAGTCGGATCCCGGTAGTGCAATTAAGAAAAACGTCACTCAAAATGTCTTGAGATTTTTGCTAAGTTATAAAAATAGTCAGGGCATAATCCGTAAGCTGTCATCATCAAATATATTTCATGAAGAACTTTTCAGATGTTTGAATTTAATACAAGGACATTTTGAACAACACCATATTGATTTATGAGGTAACACAGAACTGATTATATATAGTTTTTGTATAATTCCCCGATGAGGACGACATTGACTAAATATTGACTGCTAATCCCGTCTCTCGTCCTGTCCTCATGTTCAGCAAGCCCGTCTGTTAATTAAGCTGCCATAGCTTGCCGATTCGTGTCATTTGTACTGTCAAGCTGAAAAAAGCAGTGTGTTATCTCTGACAGACGTCAAAGATACGAACCCCATTACATTAGTCACGTGTACGAATTCCCTATATACCTTACTGAGTTCTTTGGAGAATCATGTATGACATTTTGCCTTTTCGCTCTGTCGCCTGCGAACAGACGTCAACAAACAGAACGAAAGGATGAAAAAGCGCAAAAGCAAAACACGGAAAAATTGTAAAACTGAAGAAAAACGCCAAAGCGTAGAAATAAAATTTCACATTTCTACCTTTTTTGGCGTTATTTCGGTTTTCTTTGGTTTTTTTTGTTTCATGTCTTTCATGTTTTGCGGGATTTTGTCTTTTTGACATTTAAAGACAAAATGTCGTATATCAGACTGTATGCTCTAGAGCTACCCTACCCAGCGACACCAGACTGCCCTTTTAAAGCCCCTTCCAGCGACTTAACACACAAGTGACACACGATGATGGTGATGGACTCCGGTCTCTGACGTGTGATATTGTAAAGAGCTGTAATTTAACCAACACCTAAATATATTGATATATATATTTGCGACTTTGTTTTAAAATATTTTATTGCAGGGACTTGATTCGAAAAAGAAAAATATATTGAATTAACGATTTAATTTCGCTAAAATATTTATCTCCCGGAAATGCAGGTGATATACCATAACTGTAAGGAATTAAGTCGTAAAGGCTGTTTAGGTTTATAATGCGTAATTTGTTCTTTGTGCTTTGAGCAATTTACCTGGTGTTTAGTTTTTGTAATGCATGGCTGTCAGCTGTCGGAGAAGATATTTGCGCCAGTATTATAATATACCTTATAATATTCTTTGCGAGATCTTTACGACCAAATACACTATATGTATTAGCTGATCTTCAAACGGCCGTGCTATCCCTCGTGAGCTTTATAAACCGATAGAATAACTTTAAATCTTTGATAAATGTTTATAGAACAGAAAGGAAATCTTGGATGCCCAATGACTGAAAATGTCTCTCATAAAAATAAAGAAATATTAACATACTATGATAGTTTGTAGTTACTTTATCAATTTTCTCTGTGAATGTAAAATAAACAAAATCAAAATCAAAATACCATGACGTCACCATACAAGACTAGAATCCAAAAACATTAGTAAGACAACATGAAGCAACTATTTGCCTAAACTTGACTTTATTTTCAATCGCCCTTTAAAACTGTGTATTGAAAGACTAAATACCATTTCTTCGCCTATTTTCTTCAAATTGATAATCTGTTTTCATAAAACTTGCGACCTAAGTGTAATTGTCAGGTTAAATAATTCAAAATAATAAGTTTTAAATAAAAGTGCCATTGCACATATATAATCAATCGATGGAAACCCGGTATTACGGAAAAGTAGATAGAGTTTTGTTGAGGTAAACGGAGCTTCAAATAAGTATTCGGTATGCACTTTTTAGACGGTCGGGAACGTGCTCCAAGCACATCTTGCAATAAAAGCGCATGTCTTCAGTCTTTCGTTATTTCGTGTACGTTGAACTTCAGTAATATACAGCTACACATTATCACCAAGTCAGCTCGCGGATATGTGATTAACGGCTGGTCTGTGATATATTTGAAACCGTGTAGTACATGTACATACGTATATTGAATTGTTGTCAAAGGACGTTAGGGACGTGATTACCGGTATCACTGGCACAATGCTCGTCTCCCCATGAATCAGCGAGAACGTAAATCTAACATTCTCTACAAAAGGAAACAAAAACATATAACATACCCATGGTAATTATTGTAGATTTTGTTTTAAACATATTTTATTGTAATTTATATACAATGGGAGTTGGGTACAAGTTTTACAACTTATATTAAGCCTTTCTTTGTAGAGGGTGACAGTTTATAGGCTGTACCGAGATATATACTGACAGAATGGTTGAATAACAGTACCGCAATCTCCCTGTGGTTAAAATTGAAGCAATATAATTTCATAAATATTTAAGTTTACTGGTTTGAAAAGAATTAAAATTCCAATATCCTCATTTAAAAGGGGCACATTGGGGCAACGTGAATCTATGTAAATTGTCGATATTCTTACAGGCACGTACCGGATGTAAGAAAGCGACTTGTAATTCCTCTTTTTTATAAATCATTTACACGTTTCACAACCTGAGTGTAGTGTTTACGGAAAGTTAATAACTTTTGCTATGTAAGTAAAAATAAGAAATGCCAGTTCTATCCTGCTAATTAGAAGAAAGAGCGAAAGCTAGCAGCTGGGTACTACTCACTGTTGTCGAGTCATGGCAATCAGTTACGTATACATAGAAAGTATGTCAGAGGTCACTTCAAGTCGTATTTACCGAGAAGCATACCGAAGATATTGAAAATAAATAATATTATCACATAATGTACTGTGTTATTCAGTGAATATACCCATGTCTATTTTTTGCGTATTTACCCATGTAATATGACCTATCAGCCCTGTGATTGGTTGTAAGTTTCAATGGTTTCAATTGTGACGTCACGCCAAGGACAAGTACATGACGTCACAGACTTGCGCACTGGAGTCAAAATGGCGGCGTTTTACATTTCAAGGTTGCATGAAAATTGTCGTTTAACACGAATAAATGCCACAAATCTTTGATTATGTGATAAAAAGGATCTTATACTCGTTTTCATTTCAAATGTAATTTATGAAACCCGTCACGAATTTCATAAATCTCATATGAAATTGAAATTCATGTAAAATCCTATATATAATAATGAAGAACTGTGTGATAACATATCTACGGAAACAAAATTGTCGATGAAAAGGGATCCAATAAAATCCAAGACGGAGTTATTGACTAGATCATGAAACCATTCTCATGCTCAAACACAGGTTGGATATTTAAGCCCAATTCCTTGTCCTTGTCATACATTTATAAAAATCACAATTTGCCTACGATACGGAATATTATTTTGAAACACTTAAAAGCTGAATACCATTTTCCCCGTTAGCATCTGCCCATTTGATCGTGTCAGACTATTTAAGCGAGTTACAAGAAAGTTGGTCTGAGAACAGAATTCATACCTAAAAGCATGAGAACGGTTTCATGAACGCATGTCTAATACTATTTCCTAGCTGTGCTGTTACTAATCAGATGTTTTGACGATTTTCATTATTACTAGGAACCCGTATATGACACATTGTTACAATAATGCGGGTTGCAAGTGCGGTGGCAATTTGACCTTTATAACTGTTGTTTTATTTATAGACACGGCCACATTTTACGAGTGGATACTGAACGTGATGTTGAGGAGCTTTCCAATCTTCTACTAAACCGCCCACTGCTCATGCGCGTAACCTTGGTACACACAATGGTCGCGAGCAAATACAGCGCCGACACCGTCTCGATATGGGAAGGTAAGTACTTGTTATTGGTTCGAATCTCAAGTCTGCATAGCTCACAAGTGTAATCCTTTTGTCGAGAACAAAATACTGGCATCACTAAATTTAGGTAATACAGTTTGATGAATTAAGGCAGTACAGTATGATAAATTAAGGCAGCACACTATGATAAATTAAGGCAGCACAGTATGATAAATTAAGGCACCACAGTATGATAAATTAAGGCAGTACAGTATGATAAATTAAGGTAGTACAGTATGATAAATTAAGGTAGTACACTATGATATATTAAGGTGGTACAGTATGATAAATTAAGGTAATACAGTATGATATATTAAGGTGGTACAGTATGATAAATTAAGGCACACAGTATAAAACCGTCTTACTGAACATTGGGAGTCGTATACGCCATCTGAATTGAACTGATAAGTTTGTCCTATTTTCACACAATCCTTCATCCATGCTACGTTTTAGTCTGAAAAAATTTTCCGGTGTTGTTTTTAACATTTACTCCTTATAATCAAACTTGTTTGTTGTAATATGACCCATAAACTTTGTTTTATTTTGTAAAACTTTATTGAACGTTAACCTTCTGCTATTGCAGAGTTATCTTCTCTTGGGAGCAGGTATTGATTGTTATGTCATTGGTTTGTGTGAGAAAATTACGTCGTTTTCTCAAAAATTGATGACGTTACTCTCACAAACAAGTGACGTAACAATCAATACCTGCTCACAAGAGAAGATAACTCTGCAACATGCAAAGACGGAATAAAACGTTATTCATATTTGACCGTTCGATATAATTTCGTAAGCAGCTGTCGTTCTTGTAGAATTTTTCCTCTCTTGCAAAGGCTGTTTTATCAGATGACTACAGATATTTTATTATTTCATTTACGTCGTTATTGTGTATTGTCTAACGGAAAATCACGTTTCAAACCTTTAATTTATATTTTAGAAATAAAAAACTGAATTGAAACATTAGATATCAGGATCCATTACCAATTGTTGGGGAAAACATGCAAAAATGATATTTCATGGGATCAATTTATATGTTAAAAAAATGAAACGTAGTATAATTAAAAGCGATGCGTTCTTTCTTTTAAAGACATTGCATTTGGCTGATTCCTTAGAATAAGAAGAGAGAAAAACAAAAAAATAATTTCAAGTAAAAGAACAGTGAAAAGTACATCTTAACCTCTTTACTTTACGAATTTGTTTGTGCGGATAATTACAAGACATATTAACCGCCGGCAAAGCTTTAAAAGTCAGAACCGGAAATGTATGGAAGCATGTGAAATGCGGAAAATGTTGCCGTGGATGAAATACGGAACGGAAGAAATGTTTCTTTTAATTTACGACCCAAACATCATTCATTAGAGTAATAGGGCCACTCAGGTCGCTCGTCCAGATGATGTGTACGATTTGAGTTTTGCTGCTAATTTCGTTGATTACAGCATCTGTTAGCCATGCAATTCATTAGCTAGATTAAAACGTTACACAATCTCCATCCAATCACACTTTAAATTTCGCTTTAATTTGTCTTGAAGATTTGTAATTATTTTCTCTGATTACTTCATATGAATTCACAAGTTTCCAGGACTTCAGAGCAGGAATTGTAATTTTCTGGTTTTTTTTTTCTGTGATCATTTTTTTATGACTTAAGATAAATATAGATGACCAACAGTTTTATACTGGCGTTGGAATGTGCTGATATACCTGAACAGATATGAGACAAATTAACCCTCTAATCGCGTTAAAATAACAACCCGTATACGTCCGGTACATGATAATACGTGTGTGATTGCATAAAAAACAGCAATGATTATTATCGAACTTAAAGACGTTATCGACAAAATGACATCAATTTTAATATACGACATAATTGTTTCTTTTAGTTTGTTTGTTTGTTTGTTTGATTTTGTTTAACGTCCTATTAACAGCTAAGATCATTTAAGAACGGCCTCCCCTGTGTGCAAGATGCATGAGTGTAGTATATGTGTGTATATTTTGGGAGGCTGCGATATGTTCGTGTTTGTCTCCTTGTGATAGCGCGGAACTTATGCCGACTTTATAATGCTACCTCACTGAAACATACTGCCGAAAACACCCAGCAGGACGCCCCACCCGGTCACATTATACTGAAAACGGGCGAACCAGTCATCCCACTCCTAATTTGCTGAGCGTTAAGCAGGAGTAGAAACTACCATTTTTAAAGACTTTGGTATGTCTCGGCCAGGGGACAGAACCCAAAGCCTTCCTCACAGGGGCAAACGCTCAATAAATGGCCAACAGTGAGGCATTGTCAAGGGAGACATTAAGAAGAAGAACGTTATTTAGAAAGGAGAGAAGAGATAAGGTCCCAAATTTAGTCGCCTCTTACGATCATGCAATTGGGGGCAGCAGGTACAATTCTTTTAGAAGAATTGAACTGATAGCAGTAGAGGACCCAGTGTGCTGCGTATGCAATTATGGTTTCGACATGTCCGCATGCTGTCTTTATAATAAGACACAGCTTGCTTTGGTTGAATTGTCTCCGGTCGCAATATAGAATAAAAAGTAAAGAGCAGCGGGATTCAGTTTGTTGAAATACACAATTGTCTGCCATGCCAGAAAAGCAGGTCACGATAGGCTAATCTCTACCAAGTTTCGCATGTTAAAAAAAATGCTACATTTATCAATCCCTTCTATCTTTCTGTTTCTATCTATGTTTCATCCATCCACTTTATTCCCCGCTCTTTTTTACCAAAGCTCTAATTCTCTTTCTCTATCTCTCTCTCCAAATAAATCAAAACAATGGGTGTGTCAAGTGCATAATTTCTACATGACATGGCTACTTAAAAGAATCATTTTAACATTGACGCTGAGATCACAGGAAACAAGAATCAATTATCTCTCGTAACAGATAGCGGGGCGTTTATTTATTAAGACAATATCTGTCGGAACTCTGTGTTGTTAGAAAAAAAACCATTTGATAAAACCGATAGAACACGTGTATATCAAACGCAAGATAAAAGACCCATTTATGTTTTACATGATATTGGGGAAATGTAAAATTACATGTCAAAATTAAAGCTTGTTATACTTTATCAACGCCTAACAGCGAACAGCATACCTACTTCACTTCGTTAATTACACTGTATAAAAGGTTACTTCTCATGTCGAAAGCTGTAAAATGTTAGTGTTCTAGCCAAGTAATATGACGGGAAATGTTGCCTAACTGTCAAGCTAGCTTTACCAGCGATGTGGTACGACCCTGGAGCGTGGTCAGTAGTCACCAATGTCGAGCGTGGTCAGTGGTTCATTCATTCATTCGTTCGTTCACATCCATCCATCATCTTTCTATCCACCAATCCATCCATCCATCACTCCTTCCATCCACACAACCGTCCATCCTTTCTGTCGTTTACTCATTAATGTATTTACATCCGGATCATCCATTCATCCATCTATCCATCATCCATCCATCCATTCATTGCTTCACCTTCGTCAACCCATCACCAATCAATCCATACATTCATTCATTCGGTCATTCATCCATTCATGGGATCTGTTCGAGAGACCACCAATCTGAATACACCTCTTCTCTTAAGTAACTGCCTGTCCTCATAATTGATAATAATAAGAGCGTAGCTCCCATACGCCTAAGGCGCTCGAGCGAAGCTCTTTAATGGTAACACATGCGTGCGTAAATAGTGTTGCTTCCTCTTGCTACATATTGCCTTTAATTGTTTTCGTTCGGAAGTGGACGTCCAGTGGGGAAACCGGAAATGTATCCTTGAAATAAAGACAATTGCGTTTAAACCCATACATGAACATCTTCATATTTTGAAAACAATCTTCATGTTTTATTACTTGTTTATTTAGATAAAAAATAATGAACATTCTGAGTAAAAAAGGCATGAAACTTCGTACAGAGATTACTATACTATGAAGTCACAAGCACGTCACACTCCATCGGCCTTCATCCGTTACTTTCGGAAGGAAGAAAATAACCGGAAAATCTTGGAACTGATGTCCGTTGCATTTTTCTCTTTGTCGGTGCTTCATGACTTTTTTATTTTAGTTTTTGTCACAGGCACAAACAGTAAAATTGCTGATGTTTTCTGAAGATTTTTTTTGTCATCAACCAGATTATGTTAATATTTCTACCGGGAGATATCTTCAAAATGAGCCGGCATTAAACCAACTGTCAACGTGTTTACTTTTTCATCGTCTAAAATTTCATCAGTTTTTGATTTTTATTGGTTGAGATCATGAACGAAAGTCTGGTTATAGTCTTTGCATAATTTATTTATGCACCACCACTCATAACAGAAACAATAGATAATGCATATATGTCGAAATCACCAATACTGTTCCAGACAACCAACCCCAGTTCAACGCCCTTTTTCAGCAGTGCATTGCTTATTCACAATGCGTGTCGATTTATAACTAGTAACGGACAGAAACTCTTTAATTTTATTTGAAAGCATTACTTGTCAAACCTCAGTGACAGTTACAAAACTTGAAATTCAATCCGGTGTTTCAGGATGCAACAGGAATTGAGACTACATGTCGGTATAACGACAATCTCAGTTACATCAAAGTATTACAATGTTGGTTTTTTTTTCAACTTTCATCTCTCTACATTTACTTAGACTAATCGTCAAATATGTAATATGCACTTTTTTCTATAGCAATTACCAAACAGTTTGTCCCAAATTATGTCAATCGTTCTTTATTTGCCCTGACGGAAGCGCGCAGAGAATTTCATTCTTAATGTGGGAGGAAGCTGGAGTACCCGGAGAAAACCCGCGTGGTCGGGCTGGTGACCGGGATTCAATCTGGCCATCTTTATGAAGACGACCGCGATATCAACAGCGCCACCCGATCCATTATATTCGTTACACACAAGAACAAATATCTACTTAGCTTTGACTAGAGGCAAATGGCGTCATTGATGCAAAAATTAAATTGTGAATATATTTTTACCAAGCATCAATGATACAAAAAATATACATACGGGAGACCAGGGC